GAGTATTTTAAATAAAAATTAATGACTTGTCCAGAATGGAAAGCTTTGTGAAAATAATGGGAAATAATATGGCTTTGTCATATTATTTAAAAAATACAATTTTCTAAAAGATAAATATGTAACTGTGGTCTGGGAGAACCTTGCTACTGTTTAATCAATTTTTTCAGAGATTTTTTAATTTGTATTTCTTTCTATGTTGAATTTCAGTGTATTTTAATTTTAGTGTGTCTTATTTTATTTGTCTTTTGTATTCATTTTTTTTTTACCTTACTAAACCCACAGATGGTTAAGTTGTGTAATAAAGTTATTATTGTTATTATAAACCAGTGAATTTAAAACAATGAATAGTTCTACAACATCAAATTCACTAAAATTTAACCCAGTGAATATTTCTTCTTGGATACCAGTATTACCAGTAGTATCATATATTGTACAATACTTTATTTTCGCTTGGAATTAGTTTTCGCTGAAGGAAAGATTCAGTGAAAATAAAATCCAGTGAATATGTATTTTTTCCTATATTTTACATTCAACTTGTCAAAAATCAGTGAAAATAAATTCCATAGAAAACACTCAAAAAGTCTTTTCAGCGAAAAATAATTCCAGCTAAAATAAAGTATTCTACAGTAATTAAGATGGGAGTTGAAAGGGTCATGGTACATTAATAATAAAATGAATTATTATTGAATGTGTCAACCAATTAGAATATTACAAAACAAATCACTGAAGTTTGCTAAATTCAGGTCGTATTATTTATCATATAATTGGTAATGATGATTATTTTCTGATATTAACTATGTTTGGTTGGTTAAAAGGTCAAAATCTCCCATCATGCATTGCTTATTTAATATGCAGGATGGGTTGCCGCAACCACTGCTCGTTTATTTTGTCATCAGCCAATTACAATTTTCGTTCACAGCTTATACAGAGCTAGGTTACTATGCAGTTACTAAACTATATGGACTTGACGATGAGATTGGTAATGCCGCCAGGAACTGTATATTTTATCTGAGTATATATCCACTTATAGATGGAATTGTGAGTAAATTGTAATGCCAAACTAAAATTAAATCAATAAATAAATTCCTAGTATTAAATAATTTGAATATTGTGAAATACTGTAATACAGTAAATGACAAAGAATGAATTCCATATTAGGATGATTGAGTGTGCATATTTCTCAACAACTTCATTAAATTAGGTTCACACTGTTGTTAACAGAGCTCAATCAGTTATGATTTGTATGTAGTAAAATTTATTTCTACTGTCCTGATATTCTGTGACAAACCAGGCAAATATAACTGCCACTAATTTTAATACAGTGTACTGTTTTGATTGTGGTGATGTTTGCTTGTTCACAAGAAAGTTTAAAACATGCAAATATTCAATTGTTGTACAGTACGGCATACATTGCTGAACTTTATCAAAGTTTTTCAAGAGATATTATTATTATTTTTACAATCATTACAGGCTCAGTTGTTTGCTGGTATTCTACTACAACACAAGTACAGTACATTGGTAGGAGGAGCTAGTATTGTGGATGTTGGCTTACAGGTAATGTTTAAATTGTTTGATGGTAGTTTATAATAGGTAATAGGTTGTTGATGGTACACAAAATAGTTGGTAGTGAGTGGTTGATAGTAGATAACAGGTTGTTTATGGTACACATAAAACAGTTGGTAGTGAGTAGTTGATAGTAGATAATAGGTTGTTGATGGTACAAAATAGTTGGCAGTGAGTTGTTGATAGTTTGTAGAAGGTAGTTGATAGCAGGTAATTGTACAGGATTATTGTGTCAAATTTTGTGTAAACACACAATGTATGCATTATTCACATATTGGGTACAATGTTATGCATTGAATGAGGCACTTAAAGGCCCAAAATATAATTGTTGCTGGCCCTGAGAGATGGGCCTTTTTTCTTATTTATTTATTTTTTGCAATAAAATTCTTGTATTTTTGCAACACTTATAAGCAACCATAAATAAATGTGAGATGTGCACCTTTCAAACCGAGGCATGTGCTGATCAGAAACTAATCTATTTTCAAGCTTGGATCCAATCAACCCAATATTGTGAGGGACAACCTCAGATATTGAATTTCACTATCATCTGTACTGACTTTTCATTTTATATATTTCAGTTTATAACAATGCAATTACAATTGTAACATGATGAGTGGTAAAAAAAAAATGATAACAATAATATTGAGATATTTATTTAATAGATTGGCACAACTATTGGTCTACTACATACAAGTTTATCTGTTGTCTTCCCTGTGATGATTCCAACAATAGCACTCTACTTAGCAACGTCTGTCAGACTTACCATATTACTTGCGGGATTCTTCAAATTTATATACCCAAAGCAACCGATCACTGTCAGCACTTCAGATGGAGTAAGTCATATTACATATTAAACATTTTCTTCATGAGAAATGTCACTTATTTAGATGCTATCAATACCTGTGACACAGAATAAAAATCAAAGATGGCGGCAGCTGAACCACCCTCGGCCAATCACACGCATCACAAATACTTTCAGATGGATTTTCATATTCTCCAAATATTTTCAAAAACATCAATTTTTATCAGACTTGGATTTCGTCCAATCAACAGAAACAAATTTTGAAAACTTCAGCGTTATGCAAAACTGCAGAAAAAAATTAGTAGGATAGAGGTTTCAAATTGAAGTGCATGATGAAAAGAAACAAAAACAATTTTTTTGGGCCTAATCTCTGATCTCATTTGATGGTACATGAAGTAAGTGACCTAGACTGGCGCAGTCGGGGCGATTACTTTGTTTTTGTAGTTTGAATAAAATAAAATAAATCGCGAAATGAAAATAAAAAAATTCGCAAAATGAAGGTGTTAGCGCGATTCGCAGTTACAGGGGATTTTGCGCTAACACCTCCATTTCGCGTTTTTTTTATTTTATTTAAACTACAAAAACAAATTAATCGCCCTGACTGGGCCAGTCTATAAGTGACCCTACAATATGAGATTCATTAAACTTGTGCAGTAATTTTCATTTTCTCAGAGCTTTTTGTGAGGAGCAAATGGAAATTACTACACAAGAGAAGCACAAGTTTCAATTTCTCATTGCTCAATGAAGATGATGTGATAAGTGTAATAAATAACAGTAACTACTGTCAAAACTTGTAAGTCAACTGTGAAAATTCTACTACAATATAGTGAATCTCTTTTTGTGAAATTTAGTCTTCAACTAATTTGTTGGCAGATGATGGGACTGACTGTGAGGAAAGTATTATGGTTCTGGTGGCCATTAGCACTTGTACGTTGTATTCAAATACTTAGCAGGCCGATCTGTAATGTACTCGTAGCACGTGATCTGGATGATCCTGAAGCCACTGTACAGGTAATTAAGTCTTGTACTGTAAAATACTTTATTTTAGCTGAAATTAATTTTCCTTGAAAAATGAATTTTAGTATGAATTTTATTTTTGACTAATGAGTTGAATGTAGAATTCAAGAAAAAGGGTAATTTCAATGATTAATTCAGATGGAGTAATAGCAAAAATAAATTCCAAGTAAAAATTAGGTAATTTACAATTATTATTAGTAGTATATATCTAGCATAAAAAACAATAAAAATTACTATTCTGTTAAAAGCTGTTTCCATATTCATTCCAAAATATATCTGCAATTGTTCCAATGTTCATAATTTCCTTTATTTGTGGTAAAATACGTCACCAACACTGGAACGTTCATATTGACAACAAATTCTTTTCTTTATTAAAGATGCATATACCTGTGATGGGAATATCATTGAGCGCAAACCTTCATACAAAACAAAACATTTCGGGGCTGTTACCTCTCATTAAATTATCATGACAATCAGGAAAAAGATGTATATTACCGGTAATAAGGTTATCACGAGAATACAGCAAAGTATGCACTCAGGCAGTACTGGAATGCATCAACCTCATCCATATGTGTTGGTTGATATAATCATCATACAACTTCTTATCATATTCAATCACATCCTACCCTTATAAAAATTGACCATGTTTATGTGAAACTTGTTTTTTTTGGGCATATGATGCTCCATACTGAAATATAATTTGTTTGACAGGCATTGGCTGTATTAACAGTCACCTACCCAGTGGCTCAGGTAGTATACCAATGGTTGAATGAACTTAAAACCCTAGCACCAACATTTCTTAAGGTAAGAGACTATAAGACATGAAACCAGTATGTCTAATGTGTGACCTCTGAAATAGTATACCTAATTTACTTTGTGACATGTTGATTTTATTAATAGTAAATTTAATTATCAAGGAAGCACTGGAATGTATTCAGTATTTGCTCTATTTGAAGTGCATCTCCAATAGAAGCGAATATAAACTGAGACTCTCATTTGTTTTTAATATAAACATCAACTCTTCAAGCCTTCTTTTGTCACAAAATAAAATAGGTTAAATTTATCACCTATTTTTTTTTCAAAATTTTGATAAAGATCTTTAGAATCTGTTATAGAAGATTATGTCCATTTGGTTCAAAATAATCAAAACAACTAAATAGAAAAATACTTAAAAGCAAAAACCCAAATTTATATAACATTGATCAATTAATATATACCATGAAACTATATTCATCAACCTCAAAGAAAATCCAAAATCAGTTTTGCTGTGAAAGTATTGGCATATTTTTTTCTTTGTGTGTCTGCAAAGTTAATATATACTTGTATCCTGAATTGTTCTTGCATTAAACTATAATTTCTTGATCTGTTTTTTCTACAGCGTCAGAATGTTACAACTCGAATCAAAATCACACCAAGACATATCGCAATCTTCAATGTAACTTGCATGTGCATATCTTTTTCTGTAAGTTATGCAACTTTTTGTTTCTCTATTGTTTTTACCCATAACCATTTCAAGTTGTACATTATAATAAACAGTTCAGAATGGATCCGTTGCTCATTTGTTTCTAGCCAACATGCCCAGAATTCAAATTACTTAACTGAATGATAGGCAGGTGATGAAAACAATGGATGATATATCCCGGTATATATATCAGGTGTTTCTTCTCTGATTGTATTAACCATGCAAGACCCCTATAAATGCAAAATTGCTGCACCATTAAAAGGCAAGGGGGCAGCAACCTTATTCTTGGGGTGGACATCCAGGTATTTTCACCACCATCACAATGAAAACAAAGTCCAAAAACTCTCAGAAAACTGTACTTTGAGGTAGTTGTTGAGACTCCCCAGAACAAGATTTACCCCTACATGTACAACATATAAAAATTTCGTTGCTCAGGATTAGATCAAATTTGAGTTTGTGGTGTTTTCTTGGCTTTAGCCATTTTCATCGGCTCTTCGACTGGCATTACATAGCAGCTCACGTAGTGTCCATAGAAATACATGGTACAGTGGTATGCATCTTAGAAACAAAGAAAGTTGACGTAGCTCTGCCCTTGAGTATAGGTAGCATTTTCGGCAATACTCTCAGATGATTTTAGAATACCGTAGCGTCTAATGAGATTTCATACATGATTTTCAGAATTCTCCTTACTTACTGACACTGAAGCAATGTGAAATATACAGTCTTGTTGATGATCATATGGGCAATATATAACCATGTTGAAATTGTGGTGCAAACGTGTTCAATCAGAGTAAAAAATGACATCTGTTGTAAACTTGATTGTCACTCAAATTCCTTGGTTTCCTTCTGTAATAAATCATGATTGTTTTAATCCCCCACTGAATAAACGATGGTAAAATCATTGTTGATTTAGATTTCCGGAAGCTCTTCCCTGCAACAGCAATGAAGAATGAACCATAGTGCCGATGTTGTGTTTACCCACAGTACGTTTTCTAACTTGCAATTTTATGTTGTTATAAATTATTATTACAGGGCATGTTAATATTGTTTTGGATCCCAGGTATTGCCGAGTCGTTTCTAACCACCGTACTTCGAATTGATGAAGTGACTGCAGCATTGTGTGTTGTGCCGCTAAAAATATTCTCTTTTATGCCATTTGCAGGTGAGCATAGCGGTAGTTGTATCAGGACACTGCAAGCCACTAAATGTTTGATAGTTTTTCCGTTTCTGAACATATGATGGATTTGTTTATCTTCTCAATTATTGTAAAATGCTAAATTTTCATAGTTTGGGAATAAACATCCCGGTGAAATGTTAACTGTTACAAACCCTTTGGTTCTTTGCACTGCTCACAAAGTAGTTGTCGTTGGTTTAGTTACACTTGTCAACTTAGAAGGCAATCCAAGAGTGCAAACCTCTGCCATAGATACCAATTACATCTACCTCTCCTTAAATTTTTTAGTTATGAATGAAAAATCATCTCTACAAACAATTTGTGTCCTGACAATTTTATTTTTAATATTGTTTTGAGTTATCCTGCTTACAGACAAACATGTGCGTGCAAATACAATACTTTAATATTAAGTATGCATCCTATGGGACCCATATAAAAACTCATGCACTGTGACGACCATCACCCTTTACAGATCCCAGGACAAGCAGCCCAGTCATGTCAGGAATAGGGTTCCCAACTCTCTAAATGTAGAGGATAAACTTGCATTGTCACTTTTTAAGATGTAAGTGCACCACAACAGATCTGGTATTCCATGTTTGGTGTTAAATCCACTGTAGTTTCCACTGGCATGCACTCACAAGTTGACATGTTTCTTCCATCTCTCTGTAGTTACATTGAGAGCTCATGTAACATCATGGCTGTTGCTATGGCAACAAACAAAAATGATTGCTCCTAGTGCTGTGGTCAGATTGGTGGTACTCGTTGTATCACTTTTGACTTTTCCTATGTTTGGGTTAGTACATTTTATTTTGATATTGCTGTGTGCATTAGTAGTCATTATAATTGACCTGTCTGTCTGTATAGTTCAACTTGTCGCATACAAAATGTACATTTATTTGACAGTTTCAGGTGAAGTACAAAAAATGTAGTTCTTGTTTTTGGAATGCAATAATTATTTCTCCCATAATTGCTGTGTAACATTTTTTATGTATTTTTACACCAAAGATACAAATAATTCAAAATAATACTACCGGTAATATCATTCAATGTTGGTTTCTAGACTTCACGGTGCCCAATTGGGTATTACCGCATTGCTGTGTAGTTTCAGTTCTGAGGCATTAACGGTTCTCGCTGGTACTATCTGGATCAGACATAGACGGGTAAGTAATAACTATCATTAAGGACTATCTCACTATGCAATGTGTACTGCATATTTTTGCCTTCTTACTGGTGGGGCATGTGTGCATGGAACTACAGATTTGCTATCTAATCTTAGTAATTGCTGAATGAAAACAATAGTGATGATCCAAAAAGTCGTATTACTATCGTACATTGTAGTACAAATGCAATCACTATACCTTGCATGAACTCTTTCTACAGCGGATACATGATCGGAGTGTGATGGAGATGTCAACTAGTGAAATCACATGCAGTGATAAACTAATGGTAGAAGCGGAGGAGAGGGAGACAGCACTCTAGAAATATCGAACGTATTTTTAAAAAAAAATATTTTCATATTATTGCAAGCAACATTTTTTGTATTATATGATTTTTCCACTGAAGCAAAATTATATTTTTGGCATTCATGCTCAAATAAGTGTGGAATGTTTCATCTTGTTTATGAATAAATATCCAATTTTTTTAAAAGTTTCTTTTATTTTGTTTATACCCCCGGTACTACTAACAATTGTCAGCAAGGTGTTCTTACAAATATAAGTTTGATTTTACAATAAGTCAAAAACAATTACATATTATTGGTAAAAATTCCACATGTTTTACTAATGGTTTTAAAGTGAACATTTTGGGTGAACATTTCATGATGATATCTTCAATTCTCTAATTTTGGTGAATATTTGTCATTTTTGGTAAAAAGTGATATTTTCTACTTGTTAAAAACCGCAAGTCCAATATTACATGTGGACCTCTCAGATTTGTTCGTTTTGTACTGATATCTTGAATTTTGGTGAATATTTTTGGCAAAAAGTGATATTTTCACTTTAAAAAGCGCAAGTCCAATTGCTTTGATATTACATATGTATTCATGTGAAATTTTTTCTCAGTTATATTCCTGACAAGTAGACCCTTGTCATTGTTAGATAACTATAGGATTGTTGTGCAAACCATTATCAAAAAAACAAATAAATCTAATTTTATTTCAAATCAATTTTGTAATCTTAATTTCATTACAAAATGTGTAAATTGGTGGACATAAATGATTGTTTGAAGGGCACATTAGCCGTGCAAACTTTCTTGAGAGCTGCTACTTCACTTCCAGTGATCACTTGATCTGTTTGTACAAATAGCTTCTAAACAGAATGGTACATTGTAAATTTCTATTACACTTTTGTTTTTCCTTGGAGTAAAAAAAAACATGTTACAATAACTTCAGAAATAAGTGACATTTTGATGCAAGACCTTACAACCACTTTGACTCGCTCGGTCAAAAGGAATATTATTAATAAGCAATCAGAATACTGTCAACAATGTGCATAAAATGAAATTTGATTGGGGTGTAACAAATGAAAACACTTCAAAAATGACTCCTCATGGAACATATATGCTGAGTTAGTTATTTATCATTGCAAATCAAAAATATAATTTCATAGGGCAGGGGAACAATTACGAGTATCTGAATGAAGACTATTGGTAATAACATTTTTTGCAGTGATACACACATCGACAATTAATACGTTAAAACCAATAATTTCAGAATTACTAGTATTTATGAAAATATCAAATACGAAAAAGATTGCCTTTTTATAGTGAAATTTTGCAAAGTTGTATCAATATTTATTGTACAACACAAGGTAAATGATCTAAGAAGTGGGCATTACAGACGTCACTGACCAGTCTAGATCTCAAAGTGACTTAATAGTAACCCTGTCCTCATGTTGGATTTACAGCTTAGACTGTTGTTGGCTTCACACAAATTACCACACATAGTGCTCTCTAGTTGATGTCTTCAAGTCAGCTGTGCAACATGTGAATATGTCAACACGTATTTGGTTGATTTTACAAAACGTGTTATACCCATATATATATATATATACGTTGTATTACACAGGTACAGTATGTTACTGTATTACCAGTATGTTACATTGTATTACCAGTACATAAAATGTTATCGTCTTCTGTGAATGACTTCTGTTAGTCCTTGTTCTATCAACTGTAAGTCATCTGCATCATCTTTTATAATGCTGATAAGATGCCGAATGCCTTCTTGTTGTTGTCTTAAATGCTGTGAACAGACAAGTTGAAGGAATGAGACTTTGGCAAATCTGCACAAATACTACACTGACATCTGCACAGGTTCTCTATAGAGCTCCTACACTGAAATCTACAATAGGTATTCTTATCAAAGTTTTCCATCATCCTGTAAATTTTGCTAGTGGATGATTACTATCAAAACGAATCAGATCTTTTGATTGCCATGAAAGTAGTGAGAAACTCACTATTGGTTCCTATGGTAAAAATTTTTTTTGTTTTTTTTATTTCAAAATGTTTGTTTTAGTGAAACTATTACATGGAATTATAATAGTTACGACTGTCATGATTAATATTTAACATGAAATAATGATTCAACATGCATTCATACTATGTAAGAACACATTCACGGCTTGTGTAAAAATTTTAAAATAATGAATAACAAATACATTTTTAGTTCTATTGCTTTAATCATAGACAAGCAACTCCAGTGATTCTATTGTAGTAGGGTGGGCTGGAAAAAAGTTAAGCTGATTTAAACTAACCGTTAACATAAGCTAAATGTTTATTTCGATTTCTCGTAAAATGCATGTTTTAGGTGTTGACGAGAGTTGCCTAAGTTATTGTAGAAGTCTTTGAAATTATTAATGAAAACGGGGTACAGCATAGGTAGACGTGTATCCAGGCTGAAAGACTGGATGTTTAGTCAAAATGGCGACAGATGTAAAAAATTAACAATGGAATGAAAGTCTATTTTTGAAAAAATGCGAGACAGAGAACAACAAAAAACAAGCGTAGTCAGTGAAAAATAACAAAATTTGAAGATCCATGCATCATGAAAACAATAATATTTGTGTATTTTGTCGAAAACGGGGTACAAACTTGGACAAGCATTCCCTTTGAAAGAGTGTGAACAGGTAGTCAAGATGACGACAGACATGAAGATGACACATGAAAACAGACTGATTGAAAGTTAATTTAAAAAAAGTGCAAGGCAGAAAACAACAAAAAACGATTCATGCATCATGAAAAAAGAAATATTCAAATATTTTGTCGAAAACAGGGTACAAACTGAATATAACATTTACCTACCACCACATTTAGTTAACATGTACAAAAACATTTGAACATATATATTAAAAGTAATATTTACTAGTGAACCACGGTCACGGGAACAACTGATAACTATTATGTGTTCGAAAGATGCGTATTGCGGAAAGAAAACGACTCGTTTAGGAAAAGATCCTTGTAGTTTGATACGAAAGTAGTGACATCGCATCGAAATAAATATGATGTCATTAGAATATTCCAGTCCAGCTTGCGTTGGGCATCTGGCGTTTGACTTTGATGTTTGCCGCAGTTGCGCGTCCTTCCTACTATACTGTCTATGCTTTAATGTACAAATCTTAATTTCGCTATAAGACAACTACAATAACCATGTTTGATAGTTTTACAGAAGTATTGGCAATGGTCTATATTCTTTGTCTTCTGTGACATACTCAGTCTTAATTCTGATAGGCTCACCTGTTTGATTTCATCTTGCAAAGCAAGATCCATTGAGTATCTTTCTTCAGTTCGGGCTCCTAGAGCTTGGCTTTGCATTCGAATCTGAGACATCATTTCATTGAGACGACCCTGAGTGATTAGTGAGAATAAAACACACATACACAGATTAGTCAGTGTCGAAAGAATATGCAGCGTAACATATTCACACAAATCAGAGATAGACGACAGCTCTCCTTAAAATGACCTACATTGTACATGTATTAATTCAAAGTAATGTCATAACTATCTGGGTAAAGTCCGGGTAAGGTTGCTACAATTATACCGTAGGCAATCATGTATAATTTAATTAATAACGAAGGTGTACACTGAATTATAATTCTCTCATCTGATAAGCATAATAATAAAATAAAGTGCTTATTAATACAGAAAAAACACTTATATGCTAATTAGTTAATTAACATGCATTTATCTATTATTACTCACACAGACCCAAGTAACTGAATACTTGAAATTTTCATCCAAAAAACACAAAATCATCATAATTAATTTTTCATTTTGTTTTACATCTTTCATTTTATTTTTTGTAACCAAATTCACAACAATGAGCCCTAAGATGATTTGTTATTTCATTAAGGCATAATTAAGCATATTATTATACCATGGTATCTCAGTAACAAACATAATCTGGGGTATCAGTAACAGCATGCTATAAATGTGTTGTTACATCCCACCATATTAGGAAATGTGGATTCCAAATATGAAATGATTATGCAAATATTTTTGAAAACAAAGTGGACTGTAACAAAAAACTACCAAGTTTGGACTGCATGAATTTGAGATATAAGCCAAAATGTGCGAAAAAGGACGAAAAATTACCAATTTCCATTAAACAAAATGGCTGGTGATCAGCCATATTAATAGAATCTCAACAAAAACTAACTTGCATCTTTGTGAAATAATATATGCCCTCTGCACCAAATCTGAATGAACTTAATTGTAAGCTGAAGCTATATGCAAAACAAACAAAACAAAATGGCCTCCAGTTGTCAAACTTTTTGGGGAAAAATTTGAAAAATAATGAATGTACCCCAGTATACCAACAACTATCACCCATAATCTATGTTTGAACAGAATTGGCGAGTACAACTAAGAGACAATGCTTTACACATATAAAATGGAGATATGAGTCAAATATGGCTGCCAGTCGGCCATTTTGTATCTGAACAGAAACAAAATCTGGGGGCATATGTCTACTACCATATACCAATCATGTACCATGCTTGGGGGAAATCGGTCCATGAACATATGAAATATATTGTGATGAAACTCAATCCATAAGCCTTCGGACTGGGTATATCACAAGGCGTATAAAAATGGCTAATTCAGTGTTGCCAATAAGCAACTGTGGTGGCAGTATTAAGTAACTGTATAAGGAACAATTATTTACCTTGAACTGAGTGGGTGCATTTAATTCAGCCTGTATTGACTCTAATTGTACTCTAAGTTGTTCCTCATCAATTTGTATAGCAAGACCACTTTTTCTGTAAACTTCTTGTACTAGCATAACCTGTAATCATTTTCAAGTACACGTATCAAGAATTATTTAACATATTGTGACGAACGGGTGCACTTTCAGAAGTTGAATCCCTTGAACGATTTCACTCGTGTGATTCTGATATGAAATCAATGTCAAAGTGCTACAATTGTCATGCTGTGTTGTGTTCAATATGGGACCATACACAACGTGTGTAAAATACATTGCATGAAATACGAACACCCGCTGCATGACAAATGTAGCGTTTTAAAATGTGCTGTTATGGTGGTGTAAATGCTAGATATAGGCAAACACAAATGGGAATTCTTACCTGCAAAACTCTATGTGAAAGTTCAGCTTGTTTTCGTTTATACTCCGCTAACTTAGCATGTATTGTGGATTGATTTCTTTGAAGAGTAGAAATGTCTTCTGCAATTATCTAATCGAAAAATATATCTTTCTTTTAGAAAAAAAACATTTGGCTGGAAAAATCTTGTCAATTATTAAAGATGATTTCAAATAGATATATGACTGGCATAAATTGTGGTACAGTAATGACAATATAAGTCCCTATTTTTGGGCTACATATGAGCAAGTAAAATCAAACAAAACTTACAGATAATGGAAATAATATGTAGATGTAGTTTTATCGTATAAGCAAAGCTGTGCAGCAATTAATGGTATTTATTTTTTTCATAGCATTAAGTAAAACTGTCAACATTTTCAGGATTAAAACTTCTTTGAAGTTTATTGATGTTGACTTACATTCAGTCTACCTTGGTGTTGTTTATTTTGTTGCTCCTGATGTTTAAATCTTGAATTCAATTCACTGAATCCAACCATGGGAACTGGAATTAAACTGAATAGGAAAATACATCAACATGCATAAATTTAAAACTGAATCCAACCATGGGAACTGGAATTAAACTGAATAGGAAAATACATCAATATGCATAAATTTAAAACTGAATCCAACCATGGGAACTGTAATTAAACTGAATAGGAAAATACATCAATATGCATAAATTTAAAACTGAATCCAACCATGGGAACTGGAATTAAACTGAATAGGAAAATACATCAATATGCATAAATTTAAAACTGAATCTAACCATGGAGACTGGAATTAAGCTGAATAGAAAAAAAAGATCCACCCACCCAGGAACACAAAAACATGTAAACATAGTTCACCTATTAAAACCTTGCCCTTGCATACATAAAATGTGCAATGTTAAGTTCACCACTTCAATCATGCACTATCAATTATATAGTTCACACAATTTTACTGTACATACTTGGCCTAACCACTAGTCTGAGGTTAACACATGGCCTGCTGACACAATTTTCACCCATTCATCTGTGGAGGCTTTCATGAGTGTACAAATGTGAAAACCTATCATAGGACAACTAGCAAAGAAAATACTCTTCTCCAGCAGAAAACAATTATGTATTAATAGATAAGCTAAACCGTTTGGAGGCGGGGGTGTTATAGGTGTACTTACTTTGATGGGTCAGGATTGTCAAGTTTTGCTTGTCTCCATAATCGTGGATCATAACCTATGAAATATAGTGGATGAAGTGAAGGCATTAGAATTAGAATATTTTTGAGAACACCCTCAAAAACAAATTATCAAAAAATTAGGAATCTAGATGTCAATAATGAATCTGAAAAGTTGAAAAAAAGCTATGTTAGGAAAATATTCAAACCTGACAAATAAGTGGCTAACAATGCAGCAATACTTTTTATGTCATCGCTATATTGTTGCATACCACAAAATGTCAATATTGTCAGGAAATTTACAAGACTGTTTAGCTATGCATGTCTTGAGAGTATTTAATCATCTGATTGATCAAACCATTTTTACGAATGAGCGCCATTTGGTTAAATGTGGGCAGTGTAACACAAATTTATTTAGAGAGATTATTTACTGCCTCTATAGTTTTGATATAACATAATATTTGAACATTTTTTCTAATGGCTAAATTAGAAATAGAGTGAACATATTTGGAGCAAAATGCAAGGACCAAAGTAACAACTCTATGTAGTTATACACACTCATATACTTGACTAGTGACTTAATTCTCTTTTTGGCTCAATGGACTATAGGCCGGCTAAGCCTATGGGATGGATTTCTGTCCTGAGTCTGTCGTCCGTCTATCTGTCTATCTGTCTGTCTGTCTGTCTGTCTGTGCACGACTTCTTCTCAAAAACCGCCGAACCATTTGACTCGATTTTTGGTGTGTGAATGCCTTGATGAGTGTAGATGGTAATTTGTTCATGAGAAGTCGATCTGCCAAAAATTATGCAAATTAGCCCCCCAAAACTCTACTGTGGCGGTCTATAGTGAGAGCGCCTTCTATAGTATGGTGTTGGAATAACTTTGTTTATGAATAAGTCTGTGCATCCCTGTGTCGGTCAGTCGAATTGTTTTTGTCTGTGGGCAGGTCGATTCTCCTGTTTTCT